TATATATAATATATATATATATAAAGACAAACTTCGAAACTACTTCCATTTGATTTTCTAGTTTCTAGTCATGACATGGATGAATGTCAAATAGTTCTAGTAGATATAAGTTGTATCCAGGGATTGCAATCCTGCCGCTCATTCACTCCAGCAGATTTGATAGGCGGGATCCCGCACCTTTAAAATAATTTTCGAATAATAATTTCAAAAGCTACAATGCTTTTTCGTCTGTCACGGTTGGAACTTTGTGTTAAAATGCCACGATATGTCAGTTTTGGCCTGAAAAAGAAAGTTTTAAATCGCTTTAAAATAAACTAACCTCAAGATCTTGTAGAGCAAGATTTCAGATACTGAATATAATCGCACGGTAACGCAGATCAAATTGGTGTAAACAATATTTTTAAATAGTAGTAGTAGTCGTATCGGAAAACTACCCAGAGATTATTTCCATGATGATTTTCCCTCGGATATTCAATGGTGACCTTGGTAATGACTTTCAAGGTCATTGAAGGTCAACTCTTTTTCAGTGGGACCCTATACCGCTGAAACAAAGAAAAAGGAAAGTTTTATGTTCGATACATCCTTGACCAATTCTGGAACTTGACCTTGGATTTGACCATCAAGGTCAAGCACGAATTTACGTCAATTTCTTGATAATTCATAAAAGTGTGTAATTCCCAGATAAACTAGCTTCACTGTTCTTTCATGATTATTCCCTGACTACAAAAATCGATTTGACCTTTACATGACCGTGGAGGTCATCAGGGTTAAGGTCAGATCCAAGAACACCGGGGAAACATCATAAAGAAAATTTTGTCTCGGTAGTTTCCCTACACGACTACTGGGTTTCAAGTCATATCACCGTAATTTGATTTGATCTTGAGCATGACCTCCTAAGGTCAAAATTTAAGAATGGTCAAGACCATATTTGAACGAAAAATGATGAAATTAAAAGAATCGGCTTGCCCTTCAAATGACCTTGTTATTCGTTCACAAATTATCGTGGGGTTCCGGAACATTTCACACACTCTGTTTAACGTCTTATAACACAGACATGCGATAAATATTGATTTGGCATAGAAGCAACAAATGAGTAGCAGCATGTTTGAGAGAGCAAAATTCGGTTTGCAGGATCATCGAATTGCCATTTTGGAGGTGCGGGATTGCAGTCTCTAGCGGTGTCGCAATCTATTTTAACGGAAAGTTTCTTACCCTTCCACGAGATTTCAAGAAGCATCAGAAAAACCTTTCTGGTCTTACAAACCAACGAATCCAGACGATCCGGTGTCAAAGTTGCGCCTCAAAAATATTTGCGATCCTTTGAAAATCAGTGATCACTGTAGGATTGCAAATATTTTAGAGAATATTATTCCTATATACGAAATAAAATGATCTTATTTTCTAATGAGCAGTCTTTACATGAAATTAGGGTCTGGTTGAGAAAGCAGGAAATCACAATACCAAATCGGTGAACAGGATACTTCTATATTGATAACAAAATAAAAATGTAAAGAGTAGTCAGGGTAGTATAGGGTCCCTATGGACACACGGGGCGCGTGCTCAAGGCCCCGGCTTGATGAAGAGCTCCTAAATGTCCAAAAGTCGAACACAAATTAGAAAAGTTTGTCTATCCACCTCTCTTTTCAATTTTTCCTAACGGCAAAGTAGGGCCCCTGATTTCTAGCCTAGAGCCCTTTCAGTTGTAGGCCGCGTTACTGTCTACCTAGGAGTCACTACATAGCTTGAAATGACCCTGGCTAGGGTAGAGGTAAGAGGTCTGTGAAGTTAGCCACAAGAAATTCATTTATTCCATTTGTTTGTCCATCAACTCTCCACATTTTTTCACCAATTTGATTTGTCTAGCCTTTGAATTCTCCTATAGTAAAAAAAATAAATGTTAGGGCCTCACTGAGCCCCAAAATTTTCGAAAACGTTTTGCTCTCTCGTTTGACCGTCTTTAATCCACGTTTGTTCGCTATTCAGTCCCATTTGTCCACTTTTTGAGTTTGTTGGAAATGGAAATAAAAAATCGGTCGACTCTGACTTCAAATTACTGGATAAATGTCTTTAAAATTGCTTAAAATGAATCATTAGTACCAAAACTAGTTCCTAATATTTGTTGACCCTTTAACTCATTAGATCACCAATTTGAAACCTACAAATATATTTTCTTAAACGAAATGAATACGGGGCTAACTTCACAGCCCTGCAGAATAGGCGAAGACGCTCACCACACAGAACTACCAAAAAAAGCATCTGATTCCTCATCAGAAACGCGAATTTTCTGAAATGTCAAAAAACGAAGTTTGAGCGATTTTTATTTTTTTGGTTTTCGCTCTTCACTCCACTGCCGCCACTGTACTGATTTTTAAAACTACATAGCTTTTTCATCCTTGGCATACCAGTAATCTTGTGTGAACATTTCATCAAAATCTGAGCGGTACTTCCTGAATTAAAGGCGGTTATAAAATTCGCGGAAATGAATGACATACTTTCTACATGTAATGTAACAGCCTAAATATATAATATCTCTATTTCGAAACTTTTCCTGATTTCAACACTTCCTTGCCAGTTGGCGTAGGACGTAAAAGTCCACCGTGGTGGCCGAAACGTTAGTAAAAAGAAAAAATTCAAAATATGTCGTGTCATTTAGCGGCTAGATAATCGTATTATCGCGGATCATTTGTTTCATATCCAGGAAACAATTCAAACGCTTTGTTAGATCGATCTTCAACAACTTTTTTTTGTGTGACCGTTTAATTTTAAACGACGCTCCATATTATCCAAAACCTTACAAAAGACGTGAAAGCTAATTGGTTCTGGCCATTTTCGGCTTTACCCTGAGGATGTGCTTTATAAAAGACCTTTATTGCGTACCTAGAATCGTAGCGTAAATACTCCTAGATCTTTTGGCCAACGTTAAGTTTTTAGTCAAAATCACGAAAGATGACTATTACGTCATACCATAAATTGTAATAAAATAATCAATGGACGTACGTCGATGATAAAATCACGATGTCAGGAAAATAATGACAACAAATTTTGCGAAGTTAGGTTATTTCACTGATTATTTGTATTTTCATTTTATTTTATTGTTTTGAGTGATACCTTAATAATAATTTTAGTGATGAGTTTTTGTTTTGAGAAAAAAACATTTATGAGTAGAATACCTTAAGACAGGAACACCAAAGACCAAAGTATTATTCGAAAACAACCTAACCTGCTTTGACATAACCTAACTATTCATCTTTCAAATGTAATCGATGATGCAACATGAAAAAATCGTCTATATTTGTCGGATACATGCAAATTTGCAATACAGTTTGTTTAGACAATAAAATGATTTTTGTCTCTGTCTAACATATCTGAATTTTCATTAGAAATATTCACAAATCACTGTCGTTTGTCTGCACTACAGACTCAAATGATGACGTAATCGTCATCTTTCGCGATTTCAACTATCCCGAAAAAAGTGTGCAATATTCCACCAACGGTTTCTAGAGCCTAAAATAGGAAGAATTTTAGATAGGAAGAATGACAAGAATGCAAGGATTACATCATTTTAAACGGGTGCAGCATTTAACGGAGGCAGATTTTTTACCACGAATCGAGTTTTGTCAGTGGATATTAGCAAATGAAAACACTATTCCTAGAATATTATGGTCGGATGACTCAATATTTACTAGGAATGGTGCTTTTAAATTCCATAAATTGCATCACTGGTCAGATGAAAATCCAAAAGTTGTTCGCCGTACAAATTTCCAACATAGATTTTCATTGAACTTATGTTTTTTCAACATGATGGCGCCCCTGCACATTTTGGACGCAATGTTCGAAATTGGTTGAATGTCAATTTTCCAGACAGGTGGTTAGGCCAAGGACGTCCTATAGAGTGGCCGCCACGTTCACCTGACCTAAATCCATTGGATTTCTATTTTTGGGGGTCATTAAAAGACCTAGTTTACTCGACTGAAGTAAATACTTAAGAAGATTTACTTCAAAGAATCCATCGGCTGCAAATGAAATAAGAAGAAAAAGGTTTTCCACTTTTCGGGCTACGCAATCATTAGTTCGTCGAGCGAGATTCTGTATCCAACCAAATGGGAATTTATTTGAACACTTATTGTAAAACTAGTTTTAAGTATATCCAACTGTATGTCTTCTTTTTTAAACAAATTTCAATTTCGTTCGTAGAAATTTTTATTTCTTTTGTTTTTGCCTAAATGTTAGCTATGTTGCAATAGAAATATGTATTTATGTAATATTTATCAATTATTAAATTAGTTTTTTCGTTGCCATGGATAATTATTCAAGAATTCATTTGAATTCGCAGTACATTTCATATCATGTGACAAATCCTTTAGTTTAATTTTATTCAAAAATGGCACAATTTATCGATATTCAATAAGAGTACCTTTTTATGTGGAAAATTTTCAAATTCTAAAATTGAATTTCAAAAATAGAATCACACAAAAATTTTGGGGCTAAAATAACCCGAGTCCGTCCCTGTTACATACGCTGCCAAACAAAACTGTCTAAAATTGTTAATATTTTTAAATCCAACATAAAAAGCTAGGCTAGATTACCAAATTGTATGTCTTTATCTCAACACGTTTCGGAAATATTAAGGAAAAACCATCTTCAGGGGAGCCCCTTTAAAAGACCGTAGCGCCCTTAGGGGACGTTTGTCGACCTATGTTTATATAAACTTTTCTTTCTATTTTAAGCTCTAGAAACCTCTGGTAAAATATTGCACACTTTTTTCGGGAGTAAAATTTTACAGACATAATCAATGGACGTACGTCGATGATAAAATAACGGATGTCGGGAACATAATGACAACAAATTTATACTATGATTTTGTGAAGTTAGGTTATTTCACTGATTATTTTTATTTTCATTTTATTTCATGGTTTTTGAGTGATACCTTAATAATAATTTTAGTGGGGAATTTTTGTTTAAAAAAAAAATAGTTATTAGTAGAATACCTCAACACCAAAGTCCAAAGTATTATCCGAAAACAACCTAACCTGCTTTAACATAACCTAACTATCCATCTTTGAAATACGATCGACCATGCAACATGAAAACATCGTCTATCTTTGTTGGATACATGCAAATTAGCAATACAGTCTGTTTAGACAATAAAATTCTGTTTGCCTCTGTCTAACATATTTAAAACTTCATTAAAAATATTCACAAATCGCTGTCGTTGCCTTTACTATAGACTAAAATGATGATGTAATCGTCACCTTTCATGATTTCGACTATATAGCTATTCTCAGCCGCAAAAAAATGGACATACAATCATAAGCCTTTTTCGTCTGAACTGAGACTTTTTGAATCTGATCTCACTCCCTTTCGCCAAGCCAAATGACCAAACCGTACCATCTACAATCCGCTCGTGATTTCCCGCTCATCTCCCTACGCCTCAAACCTCTTAAGCCTATCTGTTAACAGTAGAATAACTACTTCGATTATGCGCCAAAGACTGCAGCTCTTCCCTTCTCAGAATGACCGTGGATCCGACTATCCTAGACCTGGGATCGAACTCCCTGTTTGCTTCCTCCAAATGCTGCCTCTGATGCCGGATGTGGTGGCCGGAAGTGCCCTCTGGGGGCTGACCGAGCAGTAGTTCCTCGGGCAAGGTGGCTAGCCGTTCGAGTCGCTCTTTTTCGGCCAGCATTTGCTGGTGGTCGTGCATTTTGCGGAGATTGCACGCGTTTATGCGAAGCCCTGAAAAAAATGGTACTATCTTGAGTCTAGCGTTAGAGTCAAAGGAACGGCACTTGGGAGCACTGAAGCAGCCGCCCAGGCAGAAGCCTAAATGCCAGGACACCGCGGCTGCTATGCGAATCCCGAATAAATTTTGTTAATCCGATTTTTGAACTGCATGACGTAAGCTAGGAGGTCCCCTGAGGATCGCACGTGTCGGAAATCGTACTGCCAGTCGCTAATCAATTCGTGACGTTCACCTTACTTATAACAGAAAGCGGAGCTTTAGGCCTGTAGTTGAGGGGTTGGTCTTAGATCCCTTTTTTTGGGATGGGTTGAACATGAGCAAATTTCTATTGTTCCGGGAAGGTGCCGTAAGATACCTGGAAGAGACGCGGAAGAACTATAGTGTATTTACACCCAAGATAGAATGGATGCGTGATTGCCAAAAGCAATGACGGCGTACAGGGCCGCATTCAGGGCTACCTCCGAATGATGGACTACCACCAACGTGTTGTAAAACAAAGATGACAGTATTTGACAGAAACAGAAACTTAACAAATTACTCAAATACCCTTAACAACAACAACAGCAACAATCAAGAAAGGTGGATACGAAAACACGAGCACGCAGTGATACACGCGATGGACGGTGGCCTGAGTGCAATTCTGCCTGCCCTGCCCCTGCCCTGCGCATTATTCCGCCAGGCGGCCGCTTGAAATTTAATGGCGAATTGACCAATAAGAGGCGTTGTCCCCACCTGTTACCGAGAGATCACGCGCTAACTATTATTTACATCTCATCTTGAATTTCTATTCAGTTTAGAGCAGGAAATGCTGACAATGGCCAGACATTGACGTGAATACCCACTGCGATCGAGCAATGTTGTTGCTTGAACGTTTTTTGCCCGGTCAATGACGTTAATAACCAAAACCGGCTGGGCAATGTTGTTATACAGTTTTTTTAACGGATCAGTTCAAAAAATTCAAACTTGAGGTAATGAAATTGATGCGTGGATTCCATATTTTAGAGTAAAATTGACAGATGAAAATGTCAAGATGGCCGCTGGGCGCCATTTTGGAAAAAAAATATAAAAACGGGGGTCTTGTGGCACATCATTTTGAAGCTCCTGACGAGTACTTTATAATCTTGGAATATAAAGTCAATACCTTTACCTACTACAAAATGGTGGTACATTTAATAATTACTTGAACACAAACACACTAACATGCGTATCTCTACTAATAATTGTAATTCCTTGCCGTATCCACAGCGACAGCGATAAAAACTTGTTTTGTTATTTTTTGTTGACAGTGACAAGAATATCAGTCCGAAAACAAACATCACCGTACAGTTAAAATATGCTAATTTCGGTTGTAGTGCTAGATACTGTTTGAACTATTTTTAAGATCGTCAATTCTCGTCCATTGGAAGAAAAAATCGAAGCGATTTTTATTTATGGTGCGACGCGTAACTTTCACGAGACTGCAAGGATTTTTAATGATCGTTTCCCGATTCGTCCTATCTGTAGAAAATATTTAAGGGAACTTGTTTCTAAATTTACAGCTACTGGTAGTGTAAACAACAAAAAGCCCGCAGGTCATCCGACCATCCCGGAAGAAAAGCAAGCTCAAATAATTGGTGAGATCATAGTAAATTCCCAACAGTCTACTTCCTCCATCGCGAATGTATGTGAGGATTGTCCTTCTACTGTATGGAGACTTTTGAAAAAGAATAAGTATCACCCATACAAAATTCAAATGTACATCAGCTAACTGAAGATGACACTGATCGAAGAACAGGAAAAGAGACTATGACGGAAACCATTGCACGGCATCCTACATATATCCAAAATATTTGTTTTAGTGATGAATGTACATTTTTTCTGAACGGTAATGCGCATAGACAAAATTGTCGTTATTGGAGTGACACCAATCCTCACGTCTTCCGGGAAACTCATACTCAATATCCACAAAAAATTAATGTTTGGGCTGGGATATTGGGAAATCATATTGTGGGACCACTGTTCATCGAACAAACTTTAACCGGGGAACTGTATTTGGATATGCTGAAAAATACTATTGACCCTCTAATCACCGAAATCGTCGAAACGAATTCTAATGAATTCGATACTGATATTGTATTGCAGCAAGATGGTGCTCCACCACACGACTCCAGACAAGTTAGGAATTATTTAGATAACAATTTCCTCGGTCGTTGAATGGCCAGCTCGCTCGCCAGATTTGACACCTTTAGACTTTTTTTATAGGGCTATTTGAAGCAAAGGTGTACGAAACTGAACCTGCTTCAATATTGGATATACGGCTGAGAATAACAAATATTTGTAGAAATATCGATGTTACTACGTTTGACGCGAAATTACGGACCGGGTATTATTGTGTCAAGAAGTTCAAACCAACCATCTCCAGAATCCTCTAAACTGAACTCAACGTATTTATTCGAATTACCAAGTTATATACTAAGTGACATATAAATCCGAACACCCAGTTTAAATGGTTTTATTTTAATAAAATTTTGTATAAGTACTTAATGAAGCATAATAAGTAAATGATAAAAAATTCAAAATGATTGCACTGCTTTAAAGCCCTTTGACCTTTAATAATGTGTGGATGCACCCTGATGTGCTACGCATTCTCCAACGCGCCTAGGCATGCTTCTGATCAGGTGGTCAATGTCCTCCTGTGGTATCTCATTCCAGGCAACCACCAACTCCTCTCGAAGTGCTTCTAGAGTCTGAGGAGGACGTTGCAAATTGAGCAATCTCCTACCCATCATATCCCACACGTGCTCAATTGGGGATAAGTCGGGAGATCTTGGTGGCCATGGTAACAATGTGACATCATTATGTTGAAAGAAGTCTATTGTGACTCTTGCAACATGTGGTCGGGCATTATCTTGTTGGAAAGTTGGATCTGCCAGGGTGTCAAGATAGGGTAAAAGATGGGGTTCTAGAACTTCGTGGAAATAACGCTGCGCGTTCATGTTACCTCTGATGAAGATTAAAGGTGACCTGGAACCATAAGCTATAGCACCCCAAATCATAACTCCAACAGTGTGATGAACATGTCTTTCAACAAAAAACTGTGGATTCCTCCTTTCACCACGTCGCCTTCTAACCCTGGCACGACCATCGTGCATGCCTAAACAAAATCGAGACTCGTCACTAAAGACAATACTGTTCCATTCCTGATCCCAGAGTGACCGTTGTCTGCACCTCTCAAGGCGATTACGTCGGTGTTCTCGAGTTAAAGGGAGGACCCAGTGTGGCCGGTATGAAAACAAGCCAAAACTTCTCATTCGTCGGTAAACACTTCGCATGCCAATAGGTCTTCCGTGTTCTGCAAACCATTCATTTGCAATGGACCTGGTAGTGGAGAAACGGTCCCTTAAGGCCAATAATCTTAGGCGGCGATCTTCACGGTCTGTTGTTCTACGGCGGCGTCCAGTGCCCCTTGCTCTTTGCGTACGGCCTTCTGGAAGCCATGCCTGACAACACCTAACCACAGTGTCTACACTTCTTTGCACTCTAACTGCAATTGCCCGAAAAGAAAGTCCAGCTTCCCGAAGTCCCACTATACGGCCCCTATCAAACTCACTAAGTTGACGAAATCGTACAGGTCTCCGTACTCTAGGCATCGTAACCGATCGTAAAGGATGTCAAGAACCAAAATCCGCCAACGTTGATTCTTTACTGCGGCTGAAATATTCATTTTTAGAGCGTTAGTGAATTAAAAAAAAGCAGTATAAAAACCGGAATGTCCAACTGATAGGGCTGAAAATTTTTTCACTTGTTACTTACAGTAAGATAAATACATTCACCAACTTTTATTAAAATAAAACCATTTAAACTGGGTGTTCGGATTTATATGTCACTTAGTATATGTCAATGAATTCAGGTGATTATTAAATGTACCACCATTTCGTAGTAGGTAAAGGTATTGACTTTATATTCTATGGTTATCAAGTACCCGTCAGAAGCTTCAAAATGATGTGCCACAAGACCCCCGTTTTCATATAATTTTTTTAACCAAGATGGCACCCAGCGGCCATCTTGTCATTTTCATTTGTCAATTTTACTCTAAAATATTTTGTCCACGCGTATATTTCATTATCTCAAGATTCAATTTTTTGAATTGATCCGTTCAAAAAATCAAAGGGGAGGGGACATTAAAGAAAAGCACTTGCAAAGACATAAATTGTGCACCAAATATTCTACCTGGCCCCTCCATTACAACGAGCGACACGTGAACGTATTGTGACCACACAACAGTCGATTAGCAGCCTGACCCGAAGTCTCATCAAGAAATAGTCAAAAGTTGGACCTCATGTGGCATAGATGTCCAGATACGCTACCTCATTCCAGAGCTGCCATGGAATATTTGTTTGACTATGTTCAAAAGATTATAGATAACCTCGAGCACCAAACAACAAAAACATGTTTAGTCTTTTACAAAACGAAATAACCCGCAAAAAACTGATAATATGGATGAACAAAGTGTACAGTAACATTGTTCTTAGATTTCAAGAGAGCATTTGAGACTATTGACAGAGAGAAATTGTTAACGAAATTGCATTGCTATGGATTTCAATGTTCAGTATTCAACTTATTACAAAATTACTTAATCAATAGAAGTCAAAGAACTAAATTGGCAATACATTATCAAACATTAAAAACATTTCTGTAGGTGTGCCACAGGGTAGCAAATTAGGTCCTTTACTATTTATTTTATATATTAACGATATTCCTGATGTTTTACAACACTGCAAAATTCAACTATTTGCTGATGGTACTTCAATATATATATATATATATATACACAGGGTGACTTTGAAGTTGAGTCATTAATTTTCAGATAATGATTGTAGAAGGAAGATAAACCAAAATATGTGTTTAAAAATAAAAAAAAAATTAAAAAAACCTTTAAAATCACATGGTGTTAAGTCTGGAGATCGCGGAGGCCACGCTACGGGTCCATTACGTCCGATCCACCTATTCGGAAATAATTCATTCAAAAACTCACGAACTTCGCGTCTAAAATGTTTACCTCTACACGCGTGACCATAACCGTCGGTTGAAGGTTGCATACTGACCTGACACACTGACCCCGACCCAGTTCTGTCGTCGGGTTGAGCCAGTGACCTTGTACCACTCGGTGATGTCGCGGGTCGCGGCTACAGGACGGTATTCAGATATTTTTGATGTTGCAGAGCCCTTTATCTCGGTTCCCTTAAGACATTGGTGTATATGGTACTAAGAAAAATTGCTTATGTTTTCAAGATCTACACGTCGTGTAAAGTTAAATCCCAACTTTGCGGACACCCTGTATATATATATATATATATATATATATATCAAATAAAGACATTGAAACTGCAATAGAGATGTTAAATAATGATATGAAAAACGTTATAAATTGGTTAAATGTAAATAAACTTAAACTATACACAAACAAAAAATATATGCTAATAGGAAAATCTTTAGATCAAAATACGACAAATCTTACTGTTATTAGATTCATTTAAATATTTGGGCATATACGTAGACAGTAAATTAAAATTTGAAGGGCACTATGAATATATTATTTCAAAAATATCCAAGAAAATAAATTACTTTTATAGAATTTTGCAGAGCCTAAGCGTTTATTCTAAAAAAAATGTGTACAACACTATCATTCTTCCTCATTTGTTATATTGTTCGACTATTTTGTTCACTGCAAATGAAACTGTATTTTCAAAATTAAAAATATTACAAAATAAAGCTATGAGAATCATCTCAAATAAAAATGAATATACTAGAATAAATTTTATACTGAAAGAACTACAATGGTTAAATATCAAAAATTTCATAGCCTATTTGGTTTTCATTTTCATATTCAAGTTAGAAAATCATCTTCTACCAAATCACTTAGAAAATTTTATTGTATTGACAATGAGTGCCACAATTATTCTACCAGAGGAAGTATAGATTTTCATTTACAAAACTGCAGTAGCAATATACTCGTAACGAGCAAGTCAGTATTTCAAAAGGGATTGTACGAATTTAATAAATTAAGTAATGATATCAAAATGTGTGTCAGTTTGAAAATGTTCAAAGGGAAATTGAAAAAAATATCTCATGGAAAACCAGAATTCGTAGTAGTGAAATTTTTTATAAAAATATGTAGCCTTGAAGACATAATATATTTTGTGATATACTGTGTAATATGGATATTGTAGCATTAATGCTAAATAAATCTGAAACAAACAAACAAAAAGTAGGAAATCCAAAAAATGTAGATTTTTTTTAAGATTCTGAGGTTACCCTCAGATTTCTTGTGGTTCGATTGAAAGGTTGATTTTTACCTGCAATATGATCTGGCGGCGTGTAGTTATCCGGGAATTCTAAAGTGCAAACGTCTATGGTCGGAAGCAATCGTACGTCAGTATGTAGGGCTGCCGTTGAATTTCGTCCAGGTAGGCCAAGAAGGCTGCCCAGTTTGCTCGTCTGCTCGGCGGCGTCCCTGATAATGGTCGGGATTGGACGAGGGGTGGCTGCAATTACAAAAATTATAAGGTTGAAGACTTCGTTTCCATACTTTCTACGTGTAACTTCCCATGCCGCATGGTATGGAACTTAAATCGAGTTTTCGCAAACATTCATGTCACTACAGGGCAAGGTCAAGCCGGAAACGGGAGATAGACCAAGTCATAATAGCTATCAGAAAAATCTAAGTCAGGTACTTTCCAAATTTTAGGCTTTAAAAGAAATCGGAAACCTAAATTCTGCTCGTCACTCCGATCATCTAGTTTTTGTGAATGTGCAGCGTTTACTCTCAACAGGACGATTCCCAAATGAAGCACATGGTGAAGGAATAGTTTCCTGTCCTTACGAGGACATTTTTTTATATATACCGAAGCAGCCGCCCAGAAGCCTAAATGCTGATTATCCAAAAGAAATTTTGTTAATCCGATTTTTGGACTGACCAAGGTTATTCGAAATGGGAAAAGCTTCCTCTTGTAGATTGTTCCACAATCTCGACACCCTCGGGACAAAGGAGCGGTCGTATCGGCCGTGGTCTGAGTTACCCAAGGAGGACAGGACAGCAGTGCTGTAAAAAACAGGATCCATGGTCAGAAAGAGATCCAGCATGTGATGAGACGCGGGGAAAAAAGTAGGGCTTGTCACCAGCTGGGTCAGCCTTTGAATAAGAGTGAACACTACAACTGCACGACCCGCTGCGTCGATCTTGTTTGAGCCCAACCACAACTCATTATGGGCATTGAAATCACCGAGGAGAACTATCTCTGAAGCGGGGTGATTGATGTTCAGGAAGTCGATCTTGACGGCGAGGTATTCAAGTGGGTCATCCCAGTTATGGTCCGAGGGAGAGCGATAAAGGCAGCGAATAAGTTTGGGGGATGTTTTAGAGTTGACGCTAAGCCACAGAATGTCCTTCCGGTCTGATTCCAAAGAATCACCTCTGGAGCAGGAAGGACTGCTGCGGACAAAAGCCACAACTCCCCCGTTCTTTCTCAGATTGGAGTGCACCTCGTAATTTGGGAAGCTAAGATGCTTAATCGGTACAGACTGCGATTTTTGTCTCCGCCGAGAAAAGCATGGCGCGACGATTGGATTGCAGGTAGTGATGAACAGCATCAATGTTGCTGTTAATCCCGCAGATCTTCGTAAAACAAATTTTATCTTCGATGTTCTTCGCTCGAGTGCACCCTCCACCCGGACATTCCGAGAGTGGAGTAAGTTTACGTCCGGAGTTCTTAGTACTCGAGGATCCATCATCATAATTTTTTTTTGTTTTGAAAGATAACCGACTGCATAGCTTAGGTGTGGAAACATGCGGACATTTATAGGACACCCTGGGAAAAGCTAGCGGGTGGTACCGCCTCGGTCGACTGGTCCTTGTCTACCACCTTCTTTTTGCCTGTTAATGATATTAAATAGACCTAAAGTGGCCCATTGCCGGACTTGTACCGCCACCCGGCAATCGGTACTGAGGTATTCCTTAACGCGTGTACAATCACTTGAACGGGAAGAAGTTGTATACTGTATACAACAACTTCCGGAACAAGCATTTGCCCGGCACTGCTCAATAGAGCGTACATCGTACTACAAGCAGTCGAAGAAGACCCGAGTTCTTCAGTACGTCAGAGAGAAGCAAGCACGAGAGTGCTCAAAGATACAGTATCGTTTTAAAGTGAACATGTGGACCGGGATACTACATGGGAGAATCATTGTACCCTTTGAGCTGCTAGCGTTTTTGAATGGCGAAATTTATTTAGACTTTTTACAAAATCATTTACCAAGTTTGTTAGAAAGACACTAAGCATTTGCAGAGACATGTGATACCAGCAAGACGGCTGCCAAAATGCAGTCACCTGAAATTGTTGATGTCAAGCTTACACTGCTGCTGAAAGAAGTCAGTTTGAACATTTATCATGAATTTAATAAATACATTCAAGAATGAATAAAAGTAGAGATACTTTCATTCTAAGAAAAAATTGAAATTTGTAGTAATGGGATGATCAGAGTGTAAATTTCCCGATTTTTTTAAAACCAATAATTTGAAGAATACACGACTTAGATTTTTTACAGTCTGATAACTATTATGACTTCGCTTACCCCCGTTTCCGGCTTGACGTCTGCTTCTGGAACACCCTGTACATCTAGTAGCGTCTTTTTTATCACGTAAATTTCAGTAATCGCTGCACCGATTTTGGTATTAACGGAGCAATGTATTCTGAAGGCCATAGTGACTAATGGTCATATTTTGCTGCATTTACAACAATTTTGGAAACATTAACATTCTGAGATACTTCAAAATTCTGTTGTTCAGTTACGAGTTCCAAATCATTTCAAAGCACAAAAACAATTTAAAAAGCTTATTTTTGGTGGGCAGATGTTTCTAGACGTGTTCAATTAATTTCAACCCCCAGCTCCAAAATAAAAAGTAAGATACATCAAATTGTGGTTGATGACCAAAACTCAATACATAAACATAGTGTATTCATGTCAACGCAACGGTCCGAAGATGTTTATTAAATAATAAAGTAAAACCCGACAAATTCAAACTAGGTAGAAGGAGGCAGTCAAAGATTTGTTTGTCTTCTATACTAAGTGACATATAAATCCGAACACCCAGTTTAAATGGTTTTATTTTAATAAAAGTTGGTAAATGTATTTACCTTACTGTAAATAACAAGTGAAAAAATTTTCAGCCTTATCAGTTGGACATTCCGGTTTTTATACTGCTTTTTTTTAATTCACTAACGCTCTAAAAATGAATATTTCAGCCGCAGTAAAGAATCAACGTTGGCGGATTTTGGTTCATGACATCCTTTACGATCGGTTACGATGCCTAGAGTACGGAGACCTGTACGATTTCGTCAACTTAGTGAGTTTGATAGGGGCCGTATAGTGGGACTTCGGGAAGCTGGACTTTCTTTTGGGGCAATTGCAGTTAGAGTGCAAAGAAGTGTAGACACTGTGGTTAGGTGTTGTCAGGCATGGCTTCGAGAAGGCCGTACGCAAAAAACAAGGGGCACTGGATGCCGCCGTAGAACAACAGACCGTGAAGATCGCCGCCTAAGATTATTGGCCTTAAGGGACCGTTTCTCAACTACCAGGTCCATTGCAAATGAATGGTTTGCAGAACACGGAAGACCTATTGGCATGCGAAGTGTTTACCGACGAATGAGAAGTTTTGGCTTGTTTTCATACCGACCACACTGGGTCCTCCCTTTAACTCGAGAACACCGACGTAATCGCCTTGAGTGGTGCAGACAACGGTCAGTCTGGGATCAGGAATGGAACAGTATTGTCTTTAGTGACGAGTCTCGATTTCGTTTAGGCATGCACGATGGTCGTGCCAGGGTTACAAGGCGACGTGGTGAAAGGAGGAATCCACAGTTTTTTGTTGAAAGACATGTTCATCACACTGTTGGAGTTATGGTTTGGGGTTCTATAGCTTATGGTTCCAGGTCACCTTTAATCTTCATCAGAGGTAACATGAACGCGCAGCGTTATATCCACGAAGTTCTAGAACCCCATCTTTTACCCTATCTTGACACCCTGGCAGATCCAACTTCCCAACAAGATAATGCCCGACCACATGTTGCAAGAGTCACAATAGACTTCTTTCAACATAATGATGTCGCATTGTTACCATGGCCACCAAGATCTCCCGACTTATCCCCAATTGAGCACGTGTGGGATATGATGGGTAGGAGATTGCTCAATTTGCAACGTCCTCCTCAGACTCTAGAAGCACTTCGAGAGGAGTTGGTGGTTGCCTGGAATGAGATACCACAGGAGGACATTGACCACCTGATCAGAAGCATGCCTAGGCGCGATGGAGAATGCGTAGCACATCAGGGTGCATCCGCATTATTAAAGGTCAAAGGGCTTCAAAGCAGTGCAATCATTTTGAAATTTTTATCATTTACTTATTATGCTTCATTAAGTACTTATACCAAATTTTATTAAAATAAAACCATTTAAACTGGGTGTTCGGATTTATATGTCACTTAGTATAATTCTCATACTCTGTAGTGAGGATCAAAGTGCCCTTGACATGAGTCAATTTTGACAGCTTCCGTCAAATTGCATTTCGATAAGGTCTTTTCCTATTGGTCCAACTGACTGCCAAATATTTCTGTTGGTGAAATTGGCCCTTTTATTTTTTAAACATGCGAGTGTTTGCAAATAATTGTGGTGTTAGACGATTTTAATACGTGATACTTCTGACATAATTTTCAAAGAGCGTCACAAGCTTTATAATAAATAAAAGTAGATGTTTTCACCGGTAAGTATTATTATTATGTTGATAAAACGCTATCACTTTTTAGGCATTGGTATACAAATGAGTCAAAAGTATGCACTAATACTACGCACTTTTGGCAACAAACTGGAATGTAAACGCATAGGCTTAGATTTTTCTAATCTATTCGAATTCGTTGGTAAAATGAGATACCAAGATCGTGACATGAAGTTTCCAACGAAAATGATGGTAGCTGAAAGAACAAAAACTTGACTAAATTCAAATTATTTTCTGTAAAATTATAATCTAAAGTTTGCTACACGTATAAATCGTAGGTTCATATAAAATTGGTGAACTTGCACATATTGTTTGCCATCCTATACGAACAATACTTTTTCACGTGGTCAGTCTTCTGTAAAATCTAACTACAACTAGTTATAACTAAAAAGAACTCATACACTGGTTAGATTTGCTTGCTGCATGCACATTTAGCTTTGTTTACGGATCGGGTGTCTAATCGCAAACGCTGCTAAAAGAATCTTCTGTAATAAAATCTAATTTTTGATTAAAGCCAACGTATCCAGATGTTCCGGTTTTTAGATGTTTTTTTTTAATGAGATCAACTGTGACCAAATAATCTTTACCCAACTGTCTCAGAAGAAGATTTGATTTCGCGAGGGTGCGTGTATGTAGTCGTATGTAAGGATAGGAGGAGGGTAGTCTTGACTGACTAGTTGAAATACAAGTAAAAAGGTCCTGAGGTTGCTGCCAAAACACAGAGAATTCAGGTCAGAAAGGAAGTTTGTTCTTTATTCATGT